AGGGTGTGTTGTCATGGTTTTCTCCCCCCACACAATCATACTGTGCCAGATATCAGTGTGTGTATGGAAGAAAACTTTTAAAAAAGGAACTGTGCTTTGTGACTGCAGCATTATAGCAACAAACTATAGTCTAACTTCTTTAATTTAACACTCTAAAGGAACAAAATTTTCAGTTGAATTAAAGTCGGTGTTGAATTATTGTTGACTAAATGAAAGAAAATAGCTGTGTTAGGATTTCAAGATCAGTTGAATTGAAGTCATTTGAATTAAAGAGGGTATACTGTAGCTTTTGTCCTCCCTCAAAATTAACAATTCAGATTTTTCATCTAAAGCATCACAATAAGATATACATTTTAGATTATAGATAAAAATTATATAGTAATAAAACCAAATCCAAATAAATAATGTTTAAGCATCAATGTCGTTACCATATTCAGACAAAAAAAATTCTCTAGCATCACTTTGTTACGATACACAGTCAATCTACAGTGCACAAAAGAAATGGCCTCACCTCTCGAATCTCCTTGATCTTGGCCCCTCCCTTCCCTATGAGGGAGCCACACTGGCTGTCTGGCACCACAAGGCGCAGGGTGACGGGGGGCTTGGCTCCAGACAGTGCTGGGGGGGCAGGGTCCCCCGCTGTGGGTCGCACCTCCTCAAACTTGGAAGCAATCAGAGCAAAGGCTTTCAACACAGCTTCTGTGGAGCCAGTCACTGTCACCAGGCGCTCTGTGCTGGTGCCATCTGAGATGTTGATCCGTGCTCCACTCTGCACCACACAGACAGTCCAATTGTCAATATAGCCTACCTACTCACTATAGTTATTTAAAACTCCATGAATATAGTCTGCAGGACCTTGTATAATTATACAATGGGATAATAAAAAAAAAAGAAAAAAATTAACCCATTTAAAAATGCTTTCTAGAAAGAACTTTTTAAAGTGTTTTGTAAATAATTTCCCCAGATACAACAAATGACATAATCCACAGATCAAGGTTGCTTGGCTGGCAATCAGGTTTGTTTAGAAATGAGGATAGCACTTTTCCCAGGGGAGTTCTTTTTTATTTCATCGATCTTTCAACAAAATTATTTTGTACTTGTCAGGACAAATTAAGATATTTGTCAAGGTATGCTTGTTCTCATTCAATCTTTCTTTGAAATTCACCACAACATCGAGATCATTGTCAGTCAAATATTTAAACTAAAGACTATGCTCTTGAAATGAAAATAAAATTATTTTAGCAAGATATTTTCTTTTAAAAAAACTCTACTGTCCTTACTGCAAGGGAAATTAGTTTTTCATTGCCGTAAGGAAAATAGTAAACTTTGAATTTGTAGAGAAAAAAGAAAAATCTTGCCAAAACAGCTTCACTTCTTGAATATAGATGAGCTATTGCCTTATGGTTAAATATTTAGAAAGATTTTACAATATGATATATAAATTTATTATTATGTATAATTATAATCTTTGTCATTAACTACATTTTAAAATTAAATTTTGAAAATGAAATATATTTTGATGTGGAATATTTTTAAAAATATTTACAGTTGTCTCCACAAGGTAATAAGATCAAATCTAAATAAATAAATAGTGTGTGATGTTTCGGTAACAGAATTGTTAACATCTTCAGACAAAAGTAATTATTTAAAACATGCTGTGATATATTTTCTCCTTCAGTACTTTTGTCTGAAGATGGTAACAACGTTGTTACTGAAATGTCACACACTATTTATTCATTTGGATTTGGTCTTATTACCTTGTGTTTATAATCTATAATCCAAATTGTGTCTTATCAAAACTGTCCTCCTTTTGTGTAGATATTAGAATATTGCCACATGGAAAATTAGGAAAGACAAACTTCAGAATGACACAGCAATTTATTTTAGGCAAGAACAAACTATGAATGATAAAAAAAAAAGATAAGCAATGAGGGAAGTTTACAGAGTAACAAGATATAAACATTAAAAATTGATACTATCTTAATAAAATAATAAATACATCGCTACAATAAATTCTTGTAGATAGATATTTCAAAGGTCCACTCACCTCTTCACGGTACTTTTTGATGTTGTCTCCTTTCTGCCACACACATACCTAGAGTAATCCAAACAGCTCAGAGTATCTTGTCAGAGATAGAACTGTGTCTCAGGGGCTTGTCTATGGCTAGATAGATAGTAGAGATGGTTCATGTGGTCACATATATAACAGGCTTAAACTAAGTGGGTTTTGGTGTAAAACCAGAAAAATCTAAGTTAGAACTGAAGGACAGTCCTGAGTACCCAGTACTCCGAGTCCAATAAAACCCAAGGACACTTATGGACAAAACTAAAGGAAGTTGTAACTTTTATAGTATGTATATCGGGATTCAGACAATAACTGTGAAAGGTATTTGATACACAGTGACCTTTATTGAAGATACACAAGATAAGTGTGAACAATTGCCTCTGTCTCCTTCAAAAAAATGCTGATGAATAGTGGACATCAATCTTTCCACTTCTTTAATTTTTATCCATTAGTGTATTTATCAGAATTCATGAACAAAAATAAATCTGAAATTTTGAGTTATGGTTTGAACATGGCATATTTATATTTTTTTTAGGGGGGTCGGTAGAAGGATGGTCTAAACCGTTGGTTTTCGACCACTACGACCCGGGTTCAATTCCCGTATTGGGCACTTTTTTTTTAATTTAAAAAAAAAAATGCTCCAATGGCCCCCGATTCTTGCAAAAGTCCTACCCCACCAGTGAGTGCAAGTAACCAAACGGGGCTCTGACACATTTGTAAGTGCAAAGTTGAACTGCTTTTCACATGTGTAGATATGTGGTGCACTTAGAGTAAAAGCAGTTGCTAACTACCCACCATGATTATCATGGTCTGTACCACGTGTACTAGGGATTAGCAAAAAAAAAAAACATGGCATATTTAGTTAAACAACAAGAAATTAATGATGATGCCAGAAAATACTAGAAAATAATGGTTAAGTGCAAGACCTCTTTAGTGACATAGAGAATCTAGTGCTGTGATGGAACTCTCTAATTAGAAATATCCAGTATCTATCCTCGATCCATATTTTATAACAGGGGTTTAGAGAGAGGGCTCAAGAGCTCTGGAGATAATAAAAGAAGTGGATATATATAGAGAGAGAGATTGATATAGCCTATTGAGGGAAAGTTGTTTCCATTTTTCATCCAAATTTTTCATCAAAGCTAATAAGAGACAAACCAGGAAGACCAAGAAAATACAGTAAAACCTTTCCAAAGCAACCACACAATATATTTGGCACAAATTGAATGCTTTGAGAGTGGAAGGTGTTGCTTTTAGTGTCCATCAAGTCGAGTTCGACTTTCAAATAATATTAGACAAAAATAAGTGTGATATATAAAATGTGGAAAAGGGCAAAGTGTATCTGACTGATATAAATTGACTGAATTAATAACTAAAAAAATCATTGATAAAATTCCGTTACAAAATATTATTTCCTTTCGAAATGAATATAGTCTTAAAATTGTGGCATTTAAATTAAAAGCAAGAGAGAAATTTTTAAAGCAGCTTTTGGGAAATTATTTTTTCTTTGAAAATTTTATATTTACATATATTTTGTGAGATTATATTAACAAATAAAAGGGTGTGAGATGGGGGAGGGGGGTTCTTTATAGAATTGAAAGGACTGTCTTCAAGAATGTTTGATATAAAGCCAAAGAAACAAAATATCAGAAATATCTTCAAATTTAAACAAAAAGTTAATTTGTTGCAATGGAAGATAAGTGGAAGGGACTCACCTTCCCGATGATGCTGCCCACCTCCTGCAACCACCACAGGGGATGAGCCACCAGAATGTTTCATTGACATGTTAGCTAGCTACTTAGGAGAGCCAAGGGGAATGTTGTAGCATCACTAATTGGGGACTTTTATAACTGGTATATATAACTTTGGTTCCTAAACTTTTTTTTGGAGTCATCATCCACTTTGTAAAACATCATAGATGATGTCCTATCTCGATAATTCTGAAATATAATATTTTTGAAAAGAATGTTTTAACAGTAAACATACAATTTGAAAGAGCAAACTATTTAGATAGGAGGAACATCACAAAAAACATCCGGTGAGTAAACGTTTCCATTTGGTGAGCTGGGATATCACAGAAAACATCAGGTGAATAGTAAACATTTCCATTTAATGAGCTGGGACATGACAGAAAACATCAGGTGAATAGTAAACGTTTCCATTTAGTGAGCTGGGACATGACAGAAAACATCAGGTGAATAGTAAACATTTCCATTTAGTGAGCTGGTACATCACAGAAAACATCAGGTGAATTGTAAACATTTCTATTTAGTGAGCTGGGACATGACAGAAAACATCAGGTGAATAGTAAACGTTTCCATTTAGTGAGCTGAGACATCACAGAAAACATCAGGTGAATAGTAAAAGTTTCCATTTAGTGAGCTGGGACATCACAGAAAACATCAGGTGAATAGTAAACGTTTCCATTTAGTGAGCTGAGACATCACAGAAAACATCAGGTGAATAGTAAAAGTTTCCATTTAGTGAGCTGGGACATCACAGAAAACATCAGGTGAATAGTAAAAGTTTCCATTAGTGAGTTAAGAAATATTGGAAACATTCCAGGTTACAAAGCCTCCATTATTGAAATTAGACATTAGAGAAAACATCAGCCAGGGAGTAAAAATTTCCATTAGTGATATGAGATGACAGAAAACATCCCGAGTTACAAAGTCTGTGATAGTGGCTCAGATAACTATAGCATTCATCGACGTTATATTTACACTACATAACTGTGTGAATGCAATGATCCATTAGTACCTCACAATCGCAAAATATTTAAAGCAATGACCCTGAAATATATCAATTTAATTTCGTAAAAAAATGTCGCGACAAATTTTAAAGCATAATTAGAAAGAATGTTCCAAGTTAATGTAGAAAAATTAAGGGAAAAACATTTGCTGATCGTGAAAGCCACATGCAACATTCATGTCCAGGGTAGCCTAGTGGACATGGCATCTCCCCGGTAAGCGGAACACTGTGAGTTCGATTCCCACATGCAACATTCAGTTTAAAAAATCGTTTGGGTGTGTGTGAATCTCAATGATTTTTGGGCAAAGCGAGCTTTAATTTTTAGATCAGTGGATGGATAAACTTGTCAGGTTTAAAAATAAAGAAACGTATTGAAGAGAACAAATGAAAAGCTATTAAAATTCCACGTTATTGATGCGAGAAATCACAGAAAACAGCCCGTGGACAAACATTTTTAGGAAAGAGATCACAGAAGGCAGGCCGCAATAAAAGCCCCGACGGCGGCGGCAAAAACGGCCGTCAATAGACGTCGTCCCAGCTGTCACCGCCACAATCCATCCCCGACGGTCTTAATGAATCCCCGGCTTCATCAAACGCCGCTGTTACATCTTATTGCTCCTGCTGTTGCCTTCCACCGCCGAATTTCTTCTTCTTATATATACGTTTCAAGATTTTTTTATTTTTTTAAAGCCTCCCAGCATGTGTACAGATATCAATGAAAATACGCACAGAGGTACTGTTCTCTCTCTCTCTCTCTCAAATGGTTATAAAATACCAGGTTATACAAAAACTGTTTTACCCATTTTTCTACAACTTGCTTTATAAGCCGATATAATTGTCACCAGCAGCGTGGCGCGATTTAGGCAGGAATCATGACAGAAGAAGAAATTCGGCAAAAGCCAGGGACGATATAGGCAGCAAAAGCCCTTGCATCCCCTGTTTTTCGCTGAAAAACCATGTCACACAGCCAGAAGGAATGATGCATTCTCCATGCCCCGAGCGGCCCTTGGTAGGCCCCTCGCGCCCGCCAGTATGGTCCGGCTACAATGGGGTTGACCACTCACCCACAGGCGTCTCCGAGAGTGCATTGGCAAGGTTGCTGACCGAGCCCTCTCGTTCGGACTTAGTTAAACCCGTCCTACGCTCCAATAGGACTCCCCCCCCCCCCCCCCCCTTTAGCCCTCGAACCCTTATCCAGTCCAGAATCATGACAGTGTAGGTGACCTCTTTCTACAACCCTGGGACGAAGCTATTCAATACTAACTAGCTGGTCCCCGTCATCTCATCTTTCCTCACCCGCCTAACGTATAACCTGCGCTCATATATTGATGTTTCTCAAGATTTTGCGAGTGCTTGTCAAATGTGTCCCAAGTATCAAAATTTACACATACATCAAATAAATCAAAATCTGTAACAATATATGCTGAAAAGCTCCTAAAATCGAGATCTAAAATATGTCTGGTACAGTGAATTCAGGTCAAATTCAGCTTTTTTTTAAATCTGCGCACAATTATTATGTGCGTCGCCAAACATTTAAATAACTTCGAAGTGTGTCACCGGCGGTGGGGAACCAGTGTTAAGGAGGGGAGAGCCCAACGACGGCTGTGCTACATTGTGACGCCCCAAGTGAGAAAGAAGGAAGGGTGTCCTACCTTGCCCTGCATGATGAGCCGGACAGTGAGGGTGACAGCGGGGCCCCCTCCTTCAGGGTCCGAGCCCCCTGACTGATGGTGGTGGTGATGGTAGTGGTCCATGACGGGGAGGGGCAGGGGGACCAACGGCGGCGGGGGCAGCCCACAGCAGCACCTGACACACACAGCGCCAGGTCTGGTAAACCACCGCACCTTGGAGCAGTTACAGCACAATGAGTTGGCCGCCCCCACTTCGATGGAACCAAACTCTGGGAGATGTCTAGCAACAGGATGTATGGCGGTCAGTTGAAGGCAACTTGGTGATAGCGGAAGTCAGTACAAGCTTTCCCTCACAGCCGACTGTACGGTCCCTGGGTGAGAGCAACACCATTACTACCGCGCACGGCTTGAAAGAAAATTCCTTCACAAACGCCAAGATTCTCTGTTGGAAACCCCGACTTTTCTAAAAATGGGGATACATTTTATAACTAGGCGAATTATCTGGGCATGATCTTACCAGAGTGCATATAGAATAATGCGCTTTTTTTTCCACAAAAAAAAAAAAAAAGAAGAATTCTAGTTACAAGTTATCATTATAATCCTTATTACGATGTACTAGAGCGCCATCTGTTATCAAATTATAAAACTATTTTAGAGGCGTAATATTCTTTTTAAAATAAAACAATTTCTACTGTCCTTACTGCGATGAAAAAGGCCCTCCCTTTAATTTTTTCATCGCAGTAAGGACAGTAGAAATTGTTTTATTTTAAAAAGAATATTACGCCTCTAAAATAGTTTTATAATTTGATAATCCTTATTGTTGCGACAAAAGTTTTCGCCCAGAATAAACAACCAACCGAATAAACCGCGCGGAATAAAAATTTGAAAAATAACCGAATGCCCTTTCTACGAACGTATCTAGAACAACTGCGAGTCATAATCTTTATTGAAGTTTTGCCTTGATTTTTTTATATTAGTATGGTCATCATTCACACACAGATGAATGGAAAGACAGGAGTATTAATACTATAATGTAAAAGGATTATTTTTAGTCTTACTGAAAATCCACAATATTTGTTCTAGAATGATTTCTCAACACCACCCCAATAGTTCGACGAGCGAGTCACCCATAGGTGTGCCCCGTGGCTGCAACAGTATCGACACATTAGGCCGTTGTGGAAAAGGGTCAACACCACAACTAAAGACGCCTACATTATACATAGTTAACAGGCAATTTTATATAAGGTGTATAGGATAATCCAGCTGCGGTGTTGACAGAGCGCTGCCAGACGGCCGGAATCTCTGTTTTCCAGAGTACTGCCAATGGACATTCGGATTCTACTAGTTGGATCGGTTTCTCAGCAAAACAACTCCTCGGTGTTTTTACAGCAGTAACCGACTTGAAACGATCAGTTGCACAAACAAGAGATTTTTTAAATCAAAATGCCTTCTTCTGATCTACTTTCTTCTTACGTCACGAAGTTGCGTCCATTGGCCAAAAAACTACCTTCTCATCGTGTTGTCAGGAAGTCTCCACTTGATAGCTCGATGTGGCATAGCCTGGGCCACGCGGTGGGAGGCTAATAGGCGTAAGTGGTTTACTTTTCTTGGTTATCAGAAAGAAAAACAAAAAAGTTTGGCCGCTATTTTTACCCGGAATAAAAAAAAAATGACAAAATAACGATAGATTTCAGGCCGTGGGAATAAGGTAGAACGGCAGCGAAAGATGGCAGACAAACATCTTTGGCATCAACTAACTACAAATAAGGGGCATTCTAGAGCCATTTAGCTGAAGTGGCCGCCACAACTGGCCGGGTGTTGAACTGCGAATAGAAAAATAGTTTCCAAATAAATAAACTAAGCGTTTCTGAAAAAAAATGTGCAATTACAAGACATGATAGTAAGCTAAAAGATGGTATAACAGTTGTAATAAAGGGATTCTTAGTTTTCATCGACGATCTAACCAAAGATCTAACCTGAGCAGCAGCGACAGACAGTTACCTACAGCTTTTTTCTTTAAAAAAGAAAAAGTATTCTTATAATATAGCACTGCAGAACTGGGGAAAGGGTTTTTATAGAAGTAGAGCTGGCTACAACCGATTGTTCAGTCTCAAAACGATTAAAAATACAAGGAAAAAGGCAATAATTATTGGAATGTTGCGAAGGGAACTGGAGGAACACGCAAGACCTCAGGGATGGCTGGCTGAAGTGTTTTATCCTTGCATACTTGATCATAGTCTTCTATAGTTGCTTTGCCATCTTGAATGCCTCGGGATCAAAATTGGTCTTAATTATCGTAAAGATAGAGGCTGCATGGCCGGAATTCATATTTCTTCAAATTAAAGATACTTCGGCCAGTAAATATTTTTTAGCTGTCTAACAGAACGATTCTTCGGAAGTGTTCCATCCAGGTCGTGAGACAAACAAACACCGTTCTGAGGCGGAGGTTCACCACAGCCGTTACAATAGTACAAGTAGGTTTATATCGACTCGTCTTTGTGTCTAAGAATAATGTAAGAAAAAAAAGCAATAGTTATAAATAATAGTTATGAGACATTAAAAACTACTATGCGTGTTTTCTCTCATAATCTTTGTGGTTGTTGTTTTAACATTTAACTATATTCACAAAATTTCCTCTGAACTGATGGTAGTGTAAGTAGACAAAGCTCTCGTCGACCATTGAATCGAGAAAATCCTGTGAATCTAACACGTTACACTGATAGGTATTATCAAAGTAACACGTTAGATCCATACAGGCTTTTCTCAATATAATAATATATTGATATAAAAATAAATAATATCAAACTGCTAATTTTTGGTCTTTCCCCAGCCGTGTGTTATAACTAATTCTTTATTGATAATATTAAATTGTTGGGTTAAAAACTTATTTTAATACAAACTGTTGCATAAATTCAGCTTGATGATATCGACCTTCAATTCCTTCATTTCAACCAAAGAATGAAATACATTAAAAATCAAACCCCCATATTTAAGGATTGACTTCCTTGATTTAATATATAGCGATTAAATTATAACTTTCTACTGAAAGATCGAATTGACGCAGAAATAATTAACGAGAGAAAAAATTGATCCAAGGAAAAGTGTCTTGCAATATTGCATGTGTATCAACACATAATGGTAAGATGTCCCAATTGAAATAATTTCATGTTAAAATATATATAACTTCCTAGATTTAATGTTACCGATAATTTTCACTAAATCAAAGATACTGAATTTTATTGAGAATATGTTAAATGTAAATATTTTTTCTATAAAATTCATTTTGTTTAATAAAAAAATACTAGATTGAAAAGAGAGAAAAAGGAATACAATTCTATATTTAAAACAAAAAGTGTGTGTGGTCAAACTTGAACGCACAAAACAACAAACCCTAGGTTAAAAGCTATAAAGCAAAAAAATCCAACGAAGCTTTTATTTCCAATCGGGAAATTAAGCCGTTCGCAAGAGGAAGTATTTGGTTGGAAGAGCACACAACCGTCGGAGGGCGAAAAAAACCAAACCCCATCATCGTACACGACCTCGCTGCTGTAGAGGGAGACAAAGGAAGAAGAAGCAGCGGCTGACATGTAATTAGGGTGTAACAGCACAATGCAAATGGGAT